GGTCCGGGGGCGGGGAGGGGGGGGGCGACGAGCGCAGCGGACTGGAAGTTGGGGCGAGCGAGCAGGGAGTGACGACGAGGCGACTGGACATGGAGCTCGGCGGGCTTCTCCTCGTCTGTCTCCTCCAGGCTCAGCTGGGGACCCTGTGGACTCATGAAGGTAAGCCCATCCACGCCCCCACCCCCATCCCCTCCGAAAACATCTCATTCTTGGAGAATGAGATGTTTTTGTCAAATCGGATTCAAGTGAGAAAGCTTTTTCTTTTTTTTTTTCCTCAGCTAAGTCGTCATAAGTTAAAGCTGTGGATTGTTTTTAAACCCTAATGCGATGTTTTGAGGTCTAGAAACAGGAATTTGGAATTCGGAGTCCTCAAGTTCATCCAGTGGATGATCCATTCAAGCATTAGTCATCTCATCACCTAAAATGTCACATTTTTTTGCATCTCCGATGGCGGGGCCGCCCTGTGTACTACTTACGTCCCTTCCCGTGTGCATGTACAGTATGTATTTCTGTTCTCCTTGGAGAGGCTGTATTTTTAGCCAGACCCCGTTTCTTCTTCTTCTGCTCCTCCTCCAACAAATCTGTGATGCTCCACTTTCTTCCTCCGGCCTACCCCGTGATGCCCCACCATCACTTTAACCAGCAGCACTCCATCAAAGCTCTTGTGTTCATCCATGGCAACAACGTAACTTGCATCCCGTTTCTAACAAATCGCTTTAAAAAAAAAAAAAAAAAAAAAAACGAATGATAGATCTATCAAAAGTAAGGTATTAGATCACCACTGTTTACTTTGCAGTGTCAAACATTGGACCGTTCCTGCAAAGACTGACTCATGTCTACTTCCAAGGGGACACAGATGACCTAAAAAGCCTGATTTCCAAATTTCACAGATCATTACCTCCATTATCGCCAAGTGCTCCAACCGAACTGAACCTGACAACATGACAAGCTGTCCACTGTGGTGAACGCTGGCCCTGAAAGGGTTAAAGCGATATTTTCAAAACTTTTCCACCTCTTCGATGTACACCATGAAAATGTTGAACATTGAATTTCTTGGACTCCCAACACACACACACACACAAAAAATGTAGGATTCAGAACGGTCAACATTTGAGTCTTCTTGAAAACGCAAGCTAGCAAGCTAGATTGTGAAAGCCTGGGTTAAAAGGAATAAAATGGGCTAATGCTAACTCAATATTGCGGCAATAACGGCAACAAAAGAAGTTTGACAACAATGGAGGACATCTTGTCGAGAGAAGCGTGACAACTTCTGACAATGGAAAAGCATTGGTGGGGTGGCTTTTTCAATCAATCGCCTAAACCCGAACACTAACCTTGCAACATTTCATTTCTCAAGATAATAAAAAAAAATTAACTGGTCTGGCAATTCTAGATTCCATTTATCATCAGTCTAGACCACTTGACATTTTTTTTCAAACCCAGTGAAATGATATCCTGTTGCGAAACGTGTAAAAGGGAACCGAAACAGCCATGCGGAACTCCCAGTTATTGCGAGTCAAAAACAGAAAAGCAAAGAAAACAGACAAAATCCATCACCCGAGTACAACAGACATTTCAAGCTCCTTTCCAAGTTACAGTTTGTCCTTGTTATGACTTGAGCTGCCAGTACTCTGGGTGTTTTTGTGGCTTCGGCCCACGCCAAGAGCACCTCTGGACATCTTGTAATACACATCACCCCCTCTTTTACGGCGCAAAATCACTTTGCACGTTACCGAGTGGACTACTTTTGCTCTGACCGCTTTCAAGCCTGATTACAATCTTATTTTTTTTCCATTCGGAAAAAAACCTTAAATGCTCTTCACACGTTCTTTCTTTGAGTGCTGTCAAAAGCCTTCACTTCACCTCTATTGAGCGCAAATGTATTTGTCATCCTCTGAGTTGCGCACTTCCAAACAGCCGGAAAGTACATCAGCTTTTGTTTCAGACCAGAAACTTGGCGCCGCTTTTCTTTCCGTGTTTTAAAAACGCATGCGCGGCCTTTTAAGAGAGACCTGAAAATGATACTTGTTTCAATGTCAATAGAACAAACTGATGAATGCTTTTACCACTCCAACACGCTTTCGACACATTTTATGAAACATAAACCGGAAAAGGGATTTGAACGCACTCCCAAAATTGCAATCGTGAAATGTAAAGATAACACTTTACATAGTATCGGTGTGTTAGATAGGGGCCTTTAAGAGGCGGGCCTGCGTGAGTGTCAGTGCGTGTGCTGTGACCAACAGCAGCAGCTCCTGCACGAGTAGAAAATCTTTAATTCTTGAACCATATTAAAAAAAATAATAATGCATCATCAGAAGTGCGGTAAATGTTTTCTTAACTGACCGGCGGCTAACTACTAGCTACCACCTGCAGCATCATGGTTTGATGTCATGTCATCAGGAATCAGATGAAAGGGAGCATTACCGCCATCAGGAACTTTTCTCGCTGTTTACTGTGATTACTGAATTTGTTGTGCACTGGCGAGCACATGTCGACCAGGCTCTTCCCATAAGCCCGACCGACCCACTCCTGAACTCCACTTCGCCCCTTTCTTCACCGGACTTTCACCCCCGGCGCGCATGCAGGAGGCCAGACGAGCCTCAGAGTCAACACGGAAAGTTTATTACGCTTGGACATGAAAATACAGTCATCGCCCACTATTTCCGGGGATCGGGACTGAGTCCTGCAACAATGACAGAGTAACCGAAACCACCCCGAATATGTTTACAATTGCGTAAACTGAAAATATGTTGGAAACTATGATCCACAAAACAGTTTAAAATAATTTCAGTCATCTCAATTACTTGGCCATTAAGCCTCCCTTAGAAAGAAGAAAACATTTTGCTATCTTGTAGGCTTAATTGTGCCCTCTTGTGGTAGGATTGAACACTGCAGCCAACTCAACAACAACACAAGCAAGTGTGAAAAAAGACCACCAGCGAGGTTCAGGATAAAGAACTTTTGCAGCAATAACAACTCTGGAAACAAATCGTTCCATGACGGCAAATTCTAATTAGGGAATTGTTTTTTACGGTCATCTCTTACTCGGCTGAGCGCAAAACACGCGCCCACGCATAAAGCAAACGAGGATCGCCAATAAAAAAAAAAACAGATGTAACCACAAGCAAGGGTGTCAGTCTTGCTGGAAAGCGCTTCTCACGCCTTTTTAAAGTCAACTTTCTCACAAGATGGAATTCATTTATCGAAGGGGATACTTTTGACATCCCGAGTGTTTACCGCTTATTGCAGACCCTGAGAGCGGGACGCCTCCAGAGAGGTCCGCCTACAGCCTCCAGCGGCCAAGAGGCGCCCGCAGTGCTCCTCCGCCGCAGGGAGGAAGACTGGACATCACCTTCCTGCCTGACAACATGAGCCACGTTGTGGTGAGGGGCCAACAAGATGCTTGTTTATTGTCTCACATCACCGCAAAATATCTCTCGATCCAGTTGGGTTAAGTAGCGTGCACGTACAGTTTCTTAGTTCCAACGGGGCTTTTCGGTTCAGTTGGGAGGGATAATGACACCTGCTGCTTTCGCATGAAATGAATTAGTCAGAGTCGTGGGTAAGTGATGACGTAGCCTATCGCCTTACGCAGCGTCAAGTGTGTTGCATTGTTCCTCCCTTTGCTCCAAATGGAAAAAGAGAGCAGAGGTCCTGCCAGCTGACATGTGAAGAACCATTCCCAATGACTCACTTGGACACCGATGACGGCTGTACGGCCAAGTGCCTGTTTAAGGGATGGGTTGGGATTTAACCATAATGCAGTTGCAATGCCAATGAATGCTTCCTCATCGAGGAAGACCCCCGGCCCCACCCGCCCCCACCAAAAAAAATCACCATCATCTGCTTGTAATGCGGAAATTTCACCCACAGGCGGCGCTGCTGAGCAGAGGTGACAAAAGTATGCACTCTGAACTGATTAGGAAGCACAGGTTTAAAATAAACAAGTACTTTTTTTTTTTTTTTTTTTTACTGTCAATTACGGTAACCATCCGTGAAAAATCTCCTTTCAAACAGTAAGAAAAAGATTTCCGGTCCCACCACTGCTGTTGAGCTGCGGTTTGTCGGCAGGAGGACTCGCAGCGCTACTACAGCTGGCAGAGTTTCGGCCCGGACGACGGGCGCACTCAAGATTTGTGGGTGGACCTGGACTCATTGCACAAGAGTCAAGTCCGAATCCATGGCATACTGTCCAACGCACACCGGCAGGCGGCGGTAAGGAGTCGCAACTACACGCAAAACCACACTTTGAAAGCATTACACTGACTATGTTTGGCTTTTTTTCAGAGGGTGGCACTTTCCTTTGATTTTCCGTTTTATGGGCATTACTTGAGACAAATTATCGTCGCGACTGGTGGTGAGTTTCGGATCTTAAAATATGTGCTTTGTCTCAGACAACCCTTTCAGGGACAGCGATCACGACAGTGGACAACTTGTGTTCTCAGGTTACAGGTTGCATGAACGGGTGAAGAGAAACTTGATGTAAGGTTACGCTTTAACTCCTTTCACACCACGTTTCTGACAAATCAGTGCTCTTGGAAGTTCCAATAGAATTCATCGAGGAGGGACGTTGCTGTGTCTGTGCGTTCCGTCACACAGTCAATACGGTCTACTGACATCAGATCATCAGACAAAGACAAGCGGATCATGTCTCAACATCATCTCAAAGGGACGCCAACGAGTTACTTGTACTTTGGTGCCATCTAGTGGAAGAGCATTTAATTGTTCTGACCGTCACGACACACCGCTAGCATGGATAGATGTGCTGTCCTTTCATTAGTGGCACTTTACCTCATTCAAGTTTTACCAATCCAATGCGTACGGGTGTAAACGCGGCTTCCAAATGAAAAAAAGCCTTCTTATCCCGCAAGGTTTCATATTCATGGGGGAGATTACTCACCGAATGCTGACCGCTACCCAGTACATTGCCCCCCTCATGGCCAACTTTGACCCCAGTTTCTCCATCAACTCCACCGTGAGGTATTCGGATAATGGTAAGCGCAGGAAGCGGAGCACCTCCGTAGAGTTTGGGAATCTCCAGAGAGGATGGGGAAAAAGGGTGACTTCTTCTTATCTCCAGGTCATCTGTTTGTGGTCGAGTGGGACAAAGTGCGATTAAAGGACCGAGAGGCCGAAGGAGCTTTCACGTTCCAGGCGGCGCTGTACAGAAACGGAACGGTGGTCTTTAACTACAGAGAGGTGAGTTTGTTGCCCATCCCCGTGCAGCCTCATTCATCTTAGATTCAGAACAAATGCTTCTGTTGTCGTCCAGATCCCGGTGCCGGTGGAGAGGATTAACTCCACAGAGCATCCGGTCAAAGTGGGAATGTCCGACGCGTTCATGGCGTACATCCCGACGGTCCAGACTGCAGGTCATTTTTCAACTTCCTGGAATATCCCTCGACTCAAAATGTCTGCGAGTCATCTTACAGAATGCCTTTACCTTTAAGATACAAAGCAGAGGACCATCTATGAGTATCATCGTGTTGAAATCAACACCACAACGATCGCCAGCGGATCGGCATTCGAGTTCACGCCGCTGCCCAGTAAGAGCTAAACATGACAGGGAAAAACGGTCGTCTGCTAACTCGTTTCACCTTTCAGCTTGTCTTCAACACACATCCTGTGATGTCTGCTTGGGCTCCAACCTGACGAGCGGATGCGGGTGGTGCAACACGCTCCAAAGGTACAACTGCAGAAGTCCCCAAAAGGGGGAAACCGCCCAGAATAATTCCCGCTTCCGTTTCAGATGCTCAGATGGGATCGACCGCCTTCGACAAGAGTGGCTGGATTACAACTGTCCTGAGGAGGTGAGAGATTTTTTTTTAAACCTCGCCCTGTCGATGTCTCAGCGAGGTCATGCTACATATGGCGCTCAGGCTAAAGGCACGTGTGAGGACTACTACTCCGCGTCGCCTGAAGACTGGACACTCTCATCCTCCTACTCGTCAGCTGCTCCTACGTCATCTTCAGCCAAATTCCACAATGATGTGGTCACCGGGGGTGAGTTGATAAGGAATGGCTGCTAATCCATGCCTACATTTTAGATGAGATTCTATTGAAAACATGGCCAACACTCCCCAAAACAGAGCCTCCAGAGCACACAAGGATGACTGAGAATGCGGCCATCATCGCCGGCGTGGTGGGGGCTCTCGTGCTGGTGGTGGCATTGACCCTGCTGGCCGTTTACTACATCAACACTCACCCCACATTGGCACCGCCTTTCTACCTCATGCAGGTAAGAACGTAAATCACAGGTATTTTCTTTTTTTTTTTTTTTTTTTAATATTTGGCTGTAATGACTTTACTGTTGGCGTCTACCGCAGCGACGGAGCAACAACTACTGGCCCGCCATGAAGTTCCGCAACCAGGACTGCCCGTCGGGCTACGGCGAGGTGGAGCTCACGAGTCACGAGAAGGAAGGTTTTATCGAGGCCGAACAGTGTTGCTGAAGGCAACCATCTTGAGGAGAGTAACAGATGAACAGAAAATCCACTCACCAACCATCGGCGGCTGTTCCCGGCCTTCTCAGCGTCTGCTTGACATTGCGCACATGCACCATATGTCGCAAGGACTGAAGTGAAAAGAAGAAATACCCATTTAAAAAAAAATGTCAATGGACAGGTCCTTCATAATGTGTGATACAATTCCCATCTGTGTTTTTAAATCAGTCTTTGTCTGGAAACAGAGAGAAATGTGTTGTTGCATTATATTACTCTGGTGATAATAACTAGTGATTGTTAAGAAACTAACATCCTTTCTGTGGTTATATTTTTCATGTTTAAATGTCTTTTATTAAAAATTTATTTCAGAGAGTTAACTTACTGCTGCCTCTCCCTCCCCTAGTAGTATGTGTTTCACAATTAACACGCATGTATAAAAATATGAATTCTGTTTGATTGTGAATTTATGGACGAGTTTTGTCTACTTCCCCTCTCTGCAAACGTCGCTTTCGTCCTTGATGTTGGAAAAAGGTTTGAGCAAACGCTTGTACAGTCATCGGGACAAAGTTCCTGCATTATCGTGGAGCAAACTTGAAATTAACCATGAGTGCATACATAAATTATTGCGTTCGTCCATATTTATCAGCGTGTACGGCCAAAAAATGCGTTTCGGTGCAAGTCGTCGTCGGAGACGTTAATTGTTCATGCTCGAGCAAAGGTTTTTGCTTACCATGTTAGCCAGCTTTGATCACGTCGACAGTCCTGCTTTCTATTCAAAGTGAGCAAAAGCGGTGTGTCTTAAGAGGCTATTGAAGAGTAAAAAGTCACCTCAGAGTTTTCGATGATCTTGAGGACAGGAGCACACGGTGCAGCGGGTGGACAATCCGAGGCTGTCAAAGGTGAGAGAGATTGATTGTCTCATTTCAATAGGTTTCCGGTAATGTTGGCACTTCCAAAAAAAAAAATAAAACTTACAAATTGTTTTGAAAGAAACATTAACATAATATACTCTTAAGAACTTCATAGGACAGAATTTAATGTAATCTCAATAAATATTTAAAAAGGTCGAGAAAAGGAGAGGAAAAAAAAGAGGGGGCACCCGGATTTGAACCGGGGACCTCTTGATCTGCAGTCAAATGCTCTACCACTGAGCTATACCCCCGTATAGAAAAGCAGAGTAAAAAGTAGTACTTGTCCTATAGCCCATGACAGTATCGAAGTATATTGAGAAGATTATGTAAAGGTATCTACAAGTACATTTAAGAGTACTCTGTAAAGGTATGCACAGAGGGCACCTTGGTATCTTTTGAATCTACCTTGTCTGGTTTGCAGTTCGACAAGAGTCCAGCAGACGGCGCCAAATCATTGAGACTGGAAACGCATTAACCAACGTTTGCAATAAATATACAGTAATAATAATACATTTTATTTATAAGCGCCTTTCAAAACACCCAAGGACACTTTACAATCAGGAACAAGAAAAATAAAACACTGGACATCCATTTTAAGCAGTTGGGCAAGGAGTCGTCTCTAGTGTGTTTACTTGAACCTGTGAACGCCTCTGCTGCAGTAAAATGCTTTATCAGACCGTCATTTGCGCAAAATAACGTCCGGTAGCAAACGGGATCTCTCATTTTCCTGCACCTAGCTCAACGCAGTGTCATCGCTTAAAAAAATGACCGCTACGAACGTAGACACCCCCTACTTGTGACGTCACGTGGGTGTATTAAACACGTGTGACCAACTCGGTCCATTCATCTCCCACACCTCTTGCGACTGCTTCGCCTTTATCTGTGGAGGGGGAGAATGAATCCGCCATGTGGGAGATGCACAAAACCAGTTTACCCCACGGAGAAAATCAACTGCCTCGATAAGGTACAGTGCATTTTTTTTCCTATCAAAATTGCAATTAAAAAAAAAAACGAGGTCCTTAAAAAAGGGGGTTGTGTTTAGAGAAGAAAAAACAGATGCAAGTATTTGTATTTCTTCCTTTATTTTGGGGCCAGGGAAAAAACTTTTGCATCACAAAAAGCAAAACTTGTTTTTGGACCCCCAAATAGAAAAGAAAAAAATCTGTGTTATATCACACTGCCTCATTGCAAATACTGCGTTGCTTCCATTGTTGGGTAGAAAGAGACCAAATGTGGCAAGTGATTTGAGGAATGTGAATTGATGGGAGAAAAGTTTATGTTGCACACTAAAAAGTCAAACAAAAAGGACCGTGTTTAGACGATGTGCAGACTACCGGTGGAGTTTGAACAATTCATCTCATCGTGTTATTTGAATTGACCTTCACAGGCCACTTCATTGGGTACACCTCCTCATACTTAGAAACCAAGAAGAGGTCCCCTCTGGAGGCCATACTCCTTAGATTAAAACATGTACAGTTGATTGCTATTCAATGAGTACTTTGTCGTTTGTGATTGATTTTATAACAGTTCCTTATGTTTTACTTGCCTTGAGAACGGCAGCGAGCAGCATGGAGCAACAGGGTGCAGGTTGCCCACCCTCTGTAAAGAAATACCTGTTGAACCACACGACAAAATTAGACAAAAAAAATCCTCATCCTAAAATTATTATGCATTGAGGGTGAAAATAATTTGATATATGTCAAATTATCATGAGAATCAGCTTTAATGTATGTGTGTGTGTGTGTGTGTGTGTGTGTAGTACTGGCACAAAGGCTGTTTCAGCTGCGAGGTGTGCAAGATGGCGCTGAGCATGAACAATTACAAAGGCTTCGACAAGCGGCCTTACTGCAGCATGTAAGTTAACTGAGAAACTCCAGAAACATGTGACACAATCTCATAAGATGTGTGTGACGCTTACCTCTTTAAAAAAAAAAAAAAAAGGCACTATCCCAAAACCTCCTTCACCATTGTGGCCGACACTCCCGAGAACCTGCGTCTCAAGCAGCAGAGCATGCTCAACAGCCAGGTAAGGCTAAAAGGGGGAGGAAAAAAAAAACACAAATATACATGCAATACAGTTTGCAGCGATAACGGGCATGGTTCAGGTTGAGGGGAAATGCAAAATAAGCATCATAATCAGTGTTTTTTTTTTTTTTTAATCCATTCCTGGTATGAACTAAGAAGCCGCAGCAAGTGCAGCTTGCGTTTATAACCTTAAAAGTCCCTGCAGCGCAGCTCTCACAGCCTGCAAATATTCCTCATAGCCACAACATGACTCACGCCTACAGCCCAGCGTGTGCGACTGTCACATAAGTCTCTTGGCTTTGGTTAATTTTGTAATATTTGTGCAGGCACACGCACCGCTTGTTTTATTTGAAGTCATTTTATTTGTCCGATTGGAGCTCTGTTCCCCTCAAATGTGAATTTTTAAACACCATTAATGAGCTGCAGTAGGTGACTTTACGCAGCAATCTTCATTTTAATGCTAGGGTACGCTAATTGGCTGTAATTGAAAGGATGTGTTAAAAAGTATCTCTAAAGGCTGCACATTTGACTATTTAGGCCCTCTACAAGGAGGAGTTTGAGAAGAACAAGGGCAAAGGTTTCAGCGTGGTGGTAGACACGCCGGAGATGCAGAGGCTGAAGAAGACGCAAGAGCAAATCAGCGACGTAAGAAACACAACACAACTGGGGCAATCTAGATAGAAGCGCAGATCTAAATGAACTAGCTCAGGATGATTTTTTTAAATTTCACAGCTTCCATAGTTAAAAACCTTCCCTATGTTCACTGCTTCCACTAACAACATGACTGAAAACAGAGAGGATGTAGTTCAGTAAAGCACAGTCAGGAGGAGGAGGAGGATTTTCTCAACTCTCTAAACAAACTCAAATGAGTCAAAAATGGATTCTGAGAGGCTAATGGGGGGCGGGGGTAGCGGAGGCTGACAAATACTTTTATTTCAATTAACGCAACAAGTCCAATTAAATCTCCTTGTATAGTGTGACTGTGTGCTTTGATTCAATATTTACACAACTGCATAGCGCAGTGAGGACTAAGGAGTATGCGGAGTTCAAGTGGAGAAGGCACTTAACACAAGCAACACCAGTCCTCTGAAGCAAGTCCAAGCGAGGAACGTTTCAGTCATTTTGCTGTGCACAAAGAGGCGGCCCTATATGGTCAAAACATCTCAGCTGTGGACACCCAGTGAACATCCGCTCGCTGTCTCTCACACACACATACACGCACACACATTCCACACAAAAAAAAAACAAGCGCACACACAGGAAGAGACTATAAACTGCACAAATCAAGATTATTCCACCGAAGCTTCACTTGTATTCGTTGGCATGACTAAAGTAGGGCACAGGGTGTTTTTTTTCTTAACATCTGATCAATGTTTTAAAATGTCAGTGTTTACCTCACCTCTCGCCCAAGGTCACCTGGCGTCGGTTCTCACGCTGCATATTGTGAAAAATACAAATGTATGTCACAATTAATAAACAAAAAAAAGTACGTTTTGGAGGAGATTCTGTGGGAAATATGCAGCTCTTGTTAGCATTTGACTCAAATCATCTCAAGAATGTTAACGAATGATTTACTTCCCCGGGGAGGGGAGGACAAACAAAACAGGAGTTGTCCATTTAAGTCTCTTGAAAATTACACTCAATAGCGCTCAATTCGTGGACTCGATATTTGTCGCCATCTTGCGTGCAGATCAAGTACCACGAAGACTTCGAGCGGAGCAAAGTAAGAAGTGACGCACCACCCCCGGAAAACAGGCAAGGTGACACGACATCTTATTTTAAAATTCATTCGCGTATCCGAAAAAGAAAACGTGGACATTCATGTCTCTGGTGTCTTTTTTTTTTCTTATCTGTGAAGAAGAGTCGACTAGTCAGGGGAGAAACAACCAAGCAGATGCACAGGTGTGCGCTATGCCTGTAGCGCCATCTGGTGCAAGGGTGAGGACATTACACCTTTTTCATTTTCACCCAAATAAAAATAGAATTTACATTTTTTAATTCTTTTGAAGTTGATTAATTGCAGTTTAAGCTCCATTTAAAAATGAGCGCTGCTGTTAAAATAAACGACTTATTTTTTTCTAGAAATCGGTTAATTTTTACATTTCCTGTAATTGAAAAATCAGCACGAGTTATTGAATTTTAACCTCATCTACAATGACCTGGCCCATATGTACTTTTCAAGAATAAAACTTTCACTCAAACGCATGCCCACCCATGCAAAAAAGACAGAAAAATTCTTACTTGAGTCTCTGTTCCAACACAGAAGCGCTACCAGGCCTTGTACAGCTACACGGCAGCGGAGCCAGATGAGGTCTCCCTGCAAGAGGGCGACCTCATCGGCGACGTGGAGTTCATCGATGAGGGCTGGCTATTTGGCAGCAACCAGCGCACGGGCCAGCGGGGAATGCTGCCCGCCAACTACGTGAGGCCTGTGTGAAAAAGATTTTACTCACTTATGTTTACTTGGAACGAGACATTTTCAATACTCGCCGTCACGTTCAGCGGCACGTGTCACAAAGGGCATCCTCCAAATTTGTGTACCTTGGTTCTATGATGAGGGGGCAAAAAAAAATACTTGTCAAAGACTGATCTGTTTTGACATTAAAAATTTACACAGTGATCATAAAATTCCAAGAAAAATGGAGACTTAACAAAATCAATAACTTTATTCAAAACATTTCAAAAACACTCCATGTATGTAGATAAAAATTCTCTCAATATGACTTTTACATTAAAACAAGACCTTTACTTACAAAGTGATGTTTTTTGTTGTGTGCGTTAAAAAGCATAAAGCAGCATGATTTTTGAACCCTTGCAAACAAACTAACGTTAGCAACTGGCTCATATCACCGGAGGGGGGTGCACAGGGTCAATGCGCACAGGGTCGATGCTCTTCAAGTGGGTGCAAGCGACTTGGAGAAGAAGGAGATCCTCTTGTCGATTTTGGCACGCAGCTTGGCCGGCAGCCTGTGGAGGTGTTGTGAGAAGACCTCAGAGTTGCTACCCAGGAAGTCCTCGCACAACCTGGAGGACAGAAGAAACTTTTACCCTGTACATATCACGTTATCAGGTTACAGGACATTGACATTAAAAAAAAAATCTTGTGATGGTATTAAAGCCGACATCAGCTACAAGAAAAGTTCCTCATCACAACAGGCACCCAGCATGTTCAAGAAAAGCTCATTACGGCTAGAGCACGTGTGTTGGGTTGTATAAATAGCTAGCAACATAACCTTCTTAACATGTGTGACGGCCCCGCACACACGTGAATAAATAAAAACACAAGCCGTGCCCACACGGCGCCGGTACCTGAAGAGTGGGTACGGCTGTGTCTGGATGATCAACACGTCACCGCTGTGAGTCTGCGATGGACACGTCAGCATGGTGATCTGGACAATGAGATGATGATGATGTCACGGATACACATAAGTCGAGGAAACACATTGCTTGGACAAAAGTATTGGGACACATGAAGAGTGGGCAGCGTGGCTGGTGTAGTTTATTTTGCGTATATGCCCTGATGCCAATAAGTGAGCTTTTTAATTTTATGCCGTGTGTGCTGGGCTATCTGTCATCCTCCCCTAAATGGGAGTTCACTGTACTTTCTAGGTACAGGAAATTCAGGGCGGGCCATCTGCTTGTACCACAGGAAACATTGTCTAAATTCAGCTCCAGGCTAATTTATGTGGGCCAAAAGAAGACCCTGCAAAGTACAAGGGAGCCATTGGGAGGACCACAGTATTTGGACTGGCGGGAATAATCTAAATTTAGTTCCAGGGCCTAAAGAAGACCCTGCAGGAGGCTTTGAGGTGAAGTCTGCAGCTCTGAGCATATCCGATTGGAACTTTTCTGGGGAGTACCAAGCCCAAAGTCCTAAATGCTCAAAAATGAGTTGAAAAAGCGGCTTTTGTGAGCTCATTTGACCTTTGAGTTCTTCAGCCACTTAGTGACATATTAAAGCTGTGCAACATTCCTGTATCTTCAAGAAAAACATTGTTGTCACCCCTCCCCTCCTCCCGAAAAAAAGTCCCATACCGAATCCATTGCGATGGACAAGTTGCTGCTCCCCCCGAATATGATTACATCATTGTCGCTCCCCAGGCAGGCAGTGTGACACACCCTGCATGGGGGAGAATGTTAGAAAGATCAGATTTGGAGTTAGACAACCCAGTCGATCATATTTCGCAGATGGATTGGCACTTGTCAAACAGGAAGTGCAGCATTGAGCTCACAATGTAAACACAGGAGACAAGAACAGCACTTGCAAACATCTGAATATTGGTTAAAAAAAATTGTCATGTGTGGCTCAGCACATCATGGCGGACATTGTTGGCCAGGACCGCTCACATTTTAAACGTATTTGGCCGACAATTGGGGCATGGGGGGGATCTTGCAGGTGTTACAGAGGGTTCATGTCCTTGGAAATATGATGACGACGACAACAACAACTACTCAAGGCAACAGGTTTTGGCTCCGCCCACTTCTCCAATTGCGTGCGCACTGCAGAATGTACATGAGGTGGATCACGAGGTCATGTCGTTACAGGCACTGCTCTATTTAAACATTATGCAACATCTTGGCCTTAGGGCAGCCTTTGAGAAAAACCAAAAAAACACCTTTACAAATTAACTACAATTTGTTTTATGACGTGGCTACCTGGGCTTGTCGCTGTGCGCGTGAGTCATCTCGCGCCACTCTCTCGCCAGCGTATCGAACTGCCAGGCGTCATCTGGAATGACAAAATAAGAGATTAAAAGACAAGCGGTTCTGGAATGTGACATTCAACCTTGCGTTCAGCTGTAAGATGCATAACAAGATTGCGTTTGAGTGCTGGCGCACGTGGACGCATGCAGAAGAGCACTCAACACAACATATGGGATTCTGCGCCTAAATTCTTTAGGAGGTATTATTTCACCAACTTTTTTTACTTACACATTGCTCAACCCATCAAGACTACTTCAGCTAATTTAGGGAATCGTGGGAAACAATTGTCACATTCCTGCAATTCCCACAAAAACATTTAAATTTCGATTTATTTATTTTTCATCCTCAATCAATTCAAATCATTCCAACTTAAAAACTTCAACCACCCAACTTTTGGAAACATTTCTAAATTCAGGAATGTATTGATACCTTTGACAAATTTACCATTTCTCATATGATTCAACTATGCTGTCAAGATGGTTTAAAAAAATCTTTATACTACAATTCATTTTCCCCCCCCAAAGTCTCTCATTTTACACTTCTGACATTTTAATACATTTAAAAGCATTTCAGTTCAGCTATTTTTCTGTGCGGGTGTGCCCAACCGAGCAGCCACACTGCTTGTAAACGTTGAACACCTACTGAGTGTTTTCCCATCTAAGCCCAGACCGCCAAATACGAAGAGGCTGTGATCTGCGTTGAGTGTCAAGGTGTGCATGGAACGGCCCGGCGGCACTCGGCATGACAAGGCCGCACTGGAGCGCAAGGAGACAAGCGGAGGATGTTAATCCACGACATTTTACACACAATAGGCAAGTGGGCGTTACATTTGAGTCCAGTGCCACACATCCAGGTCCAAGCAGTACATGTCCAACTCAGCACTTTCCTGCAGCATATTGAAGGGGGGCGGGGGGCCGAGATAAGACAGGAAGATGTTAAAAGAGGAAGCGGAGCATCTAAAAATGATCACTTACCACGCCTCCACAGACGTAACCTCTGTTGCCCACCACGGCGCTGGCGTGGCAGCCTCGGGGAAGCGGGGGCTGACCCTGAACAGGAAAGAAGAGAATTTGATTAGTTGTTGTTGTTGAGTTGGCCCACCATCTCTCTGCATTTTTTTTTTTTTTTTGAAAGGACCAGCCTAGTTGCTAAAAGCAAAAGTGGAGGCAAACCTTCGTCTCAGGCACACTCCAGGTAGCGGTGAACGTGTCAAAGACGTCGACTTCGTTGTGCCAGCCCCAGCAGCGAAACAAGACATCACCGATAGTGAGCTAAACGGACAGATGAGGAGAAACATTTTAACACACCTAATGTTGTGGCCGCCGAGTACATACAGAAGGCGAGCTGCTGAAATTGATAACATGAGGAAAAATTGTTACAAGACTTTACCCAGTTCATCTCTTCGATGATGAAGTTTGTCGACTCCAAGTTTCTCGCCTCCCGGAGGGTTTTGCAAACGTAGCCTCCAAAGTAGATCAACCTGCACCCAAGGACAACACAAAAACAATTTCTTTTAAAACAAACAAACAAACAAAAAACACTTGCCATTTTGTCTTCACGCCAACCGCTGTGCCTGCATAAGTCACTTAGCTGTCATTTCGCACCTGTCTCCATGCACCCAGCAGCTGTGTTTATTCCTCGGGGAAGGCGTTGTTCCTTTGGTGGTCAGCACCTTCTTCCACAAGTAGCAATGTTGCGTGAGGTCTACACTGAACATCTACACAAATGGCACCAAAAAAAAAAAAAGAAAAAAAATCTATTATTTCGGTAGGAGGTTAATGCTCAGAAAAAGAAATTGCTGGAGAGCTTTGTTGGTATCAGGAGAAATAAAGGCAAAGCCCCACTCACTTGGTTGCTGTAAGTTTGGCCGTCGTATCCTGCAAAGACGTAGAGCGAGCCGTTGACGTAGGAGCCACAGAAGCCCACCAGGAGAGGGGGCGTTTCTCCGCCCATCTCCCGGCGCTGCCTGGTGCAATGAAGAGTTGGGGGCTAACATTTACTAAACTTCTTTAAAAATTTGGGAAACTGCTTCAATTATGGGGACCGGCAGCATATTGAATTGGCTTTAGCATTTTTCATAAGTAACTCGACTATTTATATAGAACTTTCACAACAACAGGCCTCTCTCCCTTCCATTTTTCCGGATGGGGTCCTCGGTGAAAAAGTTTAACATCCTTGTTCAAGTGTTTAATCATCCAAGGAGTAAGGAGGTCACAGTGTCCTTGTTTATGATTTTTTTTACCATTTGCCACTGTCCAAGTCACACAGCCAAATCTCATCGCTGGGGAGTGTGACTTCCTCACTGGCGCGGACCTTTAATGAAAACACGCAAACACATTTTGAATGCGAAACCGCACTCTGATGTCCAGCATAGAAATACAAGTTATCATCATGCATAGCCTTCCAGACCCGAAGTCATGAGCATTTTCAAACACTATATTGCTATCAATTAAAAACTGTAATAATCTGCTAAAATGCTATCACTCCTACTTTTGGTGAAATCATATTGTAGTGTTAATTAGATGCCTGACGTGAATGCAATCATGTGAATGCATGAAGATGAGCATTTGCTCATTCCAGTTGGATTACCAATTAACAATTCGCCCTTCACCACCTCTGAAAAGAGGCCTACGCCCCTGCCTGTTAAACGGTAAAGTCAGTACTGTGATTGACAAGCTTTTTTTTTTCCATGTGCTTCAACACTTGTAACTCCCGTCAGACAAAATATTGATGTGTTGCTAGGTTATGCAGTAACAATCGTAATGTGAGACTAACACACTGTCAACCAAAAGTCAATGAACTAACAAAGGAGGAGACTCAATTTTAATTAATAATTTGTTTCTGGGTTAATTTGTGCGTCGAAACGACTTTTTCGTAGAGTTTTGTCCTACCTGGAAGCCCCCCCACACGTACAGCGTGTTGTCGCCGTGAACGAACGCGGTGTGGGTGCTCCTCTCCAGCTGCTTCGTCGACGCCGGCACGCTCGCCATCCCGCTTCCCGTTAGCCTAAAAGTCGATAAAAGTGTAAAAATAAAATACTAAACAAAAAGGGGAAAAGGGCGGAGAGGAGAGTCTAGAGGAGGTCTTGTAAATGTTTTTCTTGCGGCTTACACTCTTCCTTCCCGGTTCCACTTCTCGTTAGTGCAGCTTTTCACCTGCGCGAGCGTCCTGCCTCTCTGCGCATGCGCAACTCCCCGGGCTGTTGCCAGCCAATTTGAAGACTTTTTTTTTTTTAATTGGTAGTTTGGAACTCACACAGGTGACCCTGATCACGTGATTGAGACGCTGGCTTCTCGCGAGCAAACAGGGGAAGATGCTTCATTACAAAATAAGTTAAAAAAAAATACGTTTTTTATTCTTCAACAAGGCATGATTATCTACACTATCTGCCAACTGAGGTGTAAAATTATGTATAATAGGGATACAGTATAGATTTATTTGAATTGTACCAGATATAGACAAAGTATGGACCACGGGCCACACACATCTCCGTCCTTTAATGCAGCCGACATACTCTTACCCTTCTGTTTTAAGCTTTTGTGTATACTATCTTTAAATAGCATACTATACAAGTACACAATACAGCTAAGGCATTCCATGTAGCTGCTATAAGCAGCTAACATAATGCAATGTAGTCGTAAATGCTCTTATCTTTCCCTCATCCCAAAACATACATCTGTATTGTAGCATTTGACCATGATCTTACCTTTCAACTTGCAGAATTTTTCCAAGACTTGGTAACTAATGCACTCTGTATAAAACAAGCAGAGTATTTTTGGGTTGGAGGTTATGAATGTCTGACATTTAGCATTGACACAAAGTTTCACAATGATAAATGAGGAAACAATGTAAGATGAACAGGATGTGAAAGATAATACCTTTATTTGTCTGTTAATACATCAAAAACAAAGACTACAGCTGTATGCTTGCTCGTGACTTGTGACTGTGTGCGAAGATCAAAGACTTTCAAGTGTCGACACTGCGCTTTGTCATGTCAGTGGTAACACAGACGGTGGCAGACGGAGTGTCCACTTAACAGTCGGAATTCAGTGCAAAGTGTGCAAAGTTAATTATCAATTTGATTCACTAAATGAGAAAAGGAGCCGTTGTTGCAACAGCTCCCAAAAAAAAAAAAAATTAAGGCACATTGGGACATGTTACTAATGTCACTGATTTTTTGCATGTGAAACTGTCAACAACTTGTCCTGTAAGACTAATGGAGCCCTAAAAAAAGGGAGGGGGATTCTCATGATGAAGATTCGCTGTGGCTGCGCAAGTCAATAAATTAGGTTCAGTCCTTCTGTCACTTTCACTCATAATAACAATTGCACTTGAGGTTGCATGATTTTTGATTGCTCCTCCAGGGGAAGAACAACGACACGCGTCAATGGCCTCCCTCAATCCTGCAGGTCCCTCTCCAGATACTTCCTCATCCGCAGGCAACGAGGACAACAGGTGCCCGGCACCATGCAGGTCCGATGAAACACCGCCTTGCACTCCTTGCACCTGTGCCACACACCGCGTAAAATGGGAAAGTTATTCTCGACATTGAAATGTCTTCTTTGTTTTTTTCCACGCTGCTTCAACACTTTTGTGACACTGCCATAGAATGAAGTGACATTACCTGGCGGTGCTGTCGAGCTGGAAGGGGAAAATGATGTCGTCACTGTGGCACATCTGGCAGATGAAGCCCCGCTGTGTGCACAGGTTGCAGCTGAAAACGTGGCTGCTGGCGAAATGGCACAGTGACGCCAAAAAGGGGGTGTACTGGTTTTCGGCAATCTTGAGGAGAAGACGGCGACATTTAGTATGGGCACACTATTAACCCTTTCAGGGACAGCGGTTACGACAGTGGACAACTTATCATGTTAGGTGGTTCAAGCTTAAGTCAAGCCTCATGAATATCAAATCAAAATTAAGTCGAGCATACCTCCCGCAGGTCCTTCACGCTGTACAGGCCGCTGGACTCCAGCAAGTAGGTTCGCTGCTCCATCCTAGTGGGAGCATGGAAAAAAAAAAAAGACACTTCCTGGCAGTGAATTGCGAGACATCTCAACACACACACATTCGGCTCAGTACGCACCTGGCTTGGAGCATCTTGCGGGGTCCGCTGCGGCAAGTGAGCAGGTACTCGCCCAGTATCCGCAGCCTGCGCCGCAGGCTGTGCACAAGAGCCATTGTGTCGGAGTGTGTCGGCAAGTCGGGATTGAGCTGGTCCAGGTTGAGCAGAGGCTCCTGCTCCACCTGAGTCAAGATCCACAAGGCCTTCCTGGACACCTGGACACGCACACAGACATGCGTCAACACATGGAAACGGATAAAGACAGATAGTCCGTGGCGAGGCGCGCGCCCACCTCGCGTTTATTGAGGTCCCAGTTGTGCAGCATGCGCGAAGGAATGACGGTGGTGTCGCCGTGGTGACAGGAGTCGCAGTAGTACTGGCCAGAGAACTCGCACAGACGGGCTCGTCCCAACGAAGGGCCGATCTGCTGGGAGCAGCCTGGACATGCAACTCAATGTAAGTCCAGAGTTTGAGATAAATGTATTTAAAACGTAAGACGGTCGAAAAAGGAAAGTACCGGTAGTCATTGGGGAAGTGGCAACAGATGACAATGTCATGTCGGGTAAATAAATAAAATAATTAACAACAATGAGTATATTGACGAGAAAGAGATCTAATTGGCTACAGATCCAACAAGATGGCACCAAAACCCTATTTTTCGACAGCCTAATAATAGAAGGTCCTCCCCTCACTTCAGCAAGGTTCATTGACATGGATGTTCCACAAGATGGCGCCAACGCACTACATTTTTTACAGATGGGTCTTTGGCACGTCTTTGGGCATTTCAGCAACAATACAAACACAAGGAATAGTTTTTCATGAATATCGGAGGATAGGTCCTCAAATAATTAAACTACTGTGCAGCGAATCGCAAAGAGGCAATGGTACACTGTGCCCCCTTGAAAACTTTTGTAGGAGTACATTACCTGCACATTTGAAGCTCTGCGTGTCCAGTCCCTTCTGCGAGGGCACAGTGCACAAATGTACCAGGAGCGGTCCGTCTTCTTTGAGTCTGTGCTGAACCAGTCTGTGCAGGTTTCCGCCGCCACCCCGGCCAACAGCGGCCGCCTCCTCCCCACTTTCCAAGTACGAGTCCAGAGCCCCACGGATCAGGGCCCTCCAGGAGTGAGCCTCCTCCGCACATTCCGCCCGCAGTCGGAGCGTCTCGCTGAGCGTCAGGAGTTTAAAAAAGTCAGGTCCGCCCAGCGCGACGTCGGGCACCACGTCCCGTACTTCCTGGATGGGGAACGTCATCCGCAGCAACTTCTTTCCTTCTTGCACCCGGAAGCCTTTCAAGGCCTCCAGGGAGAGCGAGAAGACGAGAGGCATCCACAAGCGAACGTCAGCGTCCAAACAACAATAGAGCACCGCTTCCTTGATGGAGTCCCTTTCCAAATCCGCTGTGCGAGTCCAGTTGAATTCCTGAAGCGGAGAAGGCGAGCAGCATCGCTCGGGGCTGCAAGAGGCGGAGCACGGGAAGAAGACGCTGCTGTCATCCGCGCAGTTCTCACTGGGTAGCTCCAGAATCTCCCACTGCTCATCCACGCAGGATACGGGCCTGCACTTGTTGACCGCCTCCACAATGCGGTCCAGCCAGTCCTCCGCCTCGTCCTGGTTGGCGGCGCGCAGGTGGAGACGCTTACCGGGGAAGGCCAGCTCGAAGCGGCCATCGGACGAGGCCAGGCGGGCGTCCTCGCACCGCAGCAGGGAGCAGTTGTCGCAGCAGCTGCGCTCCTCAGCGTTGAGGTAGAGGCGGAACTCGAAAGGAGACAGCTCGCAGTAGTGGTCCCGCCACATTCCCATGGCGCCGCGGCGCTCCAGGTGGCCGAGCTTCAGCAAGCCTCGGAAGGGGTTGGAGAGGCCTAGACGAGGCGGAGGCAGACGAGACGGATGTCACAACAAAGACTGCACCGCAGCTGTATTCTTTTAGACTAGATAAACTTTATTGTCCCACAATAGGAACATTTTTGGAAAAAAGGGGGCGTGGCCTAGTGATTGACATCAGGATCAAGTCTCATTTGCTAGAGGGCAAGCACCTGCCCTTGTGTCATGTGAGATCACTGCAAATCAGTAAATGAGTTACCTATTTGACGGCGATGCACAACACTAGGTGGCGACTGCGAGTCTGCAGGAGGAGGAGGAGGAGGAGCTGGAGCAAGAGGGGGAGGAGGTGACCGTGGCAACTCAAGGTCTGATTCCTCGTCCACACGAGGCTTGTAGATGTCTTCGTCAGAAATCCAGGCGCGAGAACGCTAAAATGCCAGAGGCAATAAGCTAAGTCATCAAGCACTAGTTCATATTTTTGACGCACTTGGGTCTCATGATGACTTGGGTTTCAAACCCTTTCCAATTTCAAACAGGGACTGTCATGACTTGATTTAGAGTGCTGGCAAGTCTCAAGCTATTGGCGAAGAATAGCGGCTGATTACATGCACAATGACAAGAGGAGAGAGATTTTCGAAAAAAAAAAAGGTTTTGCACCTTGTTTTGCATTCTGACAAAAGCCACAAAATTTTGAGTTGCTCGCTCACCATGAGGGAATCTGATGGCAGCTCCCTGTTCGGGACGCTCTCGGCTCCTTTCTCTCCGAGGTCCAGCTCGGCCTTCTCCAGGTCTGTCAAAATGGCAGGCTGCGCACGGTCAACATGATTCCGGGGGGGCGAAGGCAGCTCGGCGAGCGGCGGAGGTGGTGGTGGCGCTGTGTCCGAGATAGCACAACTGGGCGGCTGGTCGCTGTCGGAGAAGTGATCGGCGCCAGAGCTGGAGACAAAGGAGTCCTCGCGCATGGAATCCTGACTGGAATTTCCGTTGTCCTGGAGCTCGGGAGGTGACCTGAAGAAACATTTTTTCAGCTTCTGTATTTCAAAGGCCATTCACGCTGATGTGCACTGGTTCCACGAACAACATGGCTTCAAACAGAGAAGAGCTAGCTTCCAAAAGCACAGTGTTGCCAACTGAGCAATTAGGTCACTCAACTCGAGTTGTGTGGCCTTTAGCAGAATTCCAGTGTGCCCCCAAAGATAGGCCAAACGGCAATGTGGGCAAAAAAAAAAAAAAAACCACAATGAAACATGAGCTAAAAGAAAAAGTTCATGGCATGCTTACGCTTTCTGGGGCGCCTTGGTGCTGCCGCTGATGTCGCAAGAGGACCACTGCTCCCCCGCGGGGCTGCGCAGGTCTTGCCCCTGTAGAAGGCTGTCTGAGCTCAAGCTGGAGGAGAGCTGGGAGGAGCCTGTGGTGTCGAGGCTCAGCGTGGACGAGTTGAGTCCTCTGGTGACCCCGCGGGACCCGCGGGAAGCCCTCAAGACCTGCGGCCCGGCGTCGGACGATCCCGACGACTGCGACACCGCATCCCACGCGTCTTTGCACGCGGGCCGTTCGACCGTTCCGTTGACGGGTGGGTCCGGAGAGTCGGCCGGGCACGGGGCGCAGAGTCCGGCGAGGCTGAGCGGCGTGGTGGTCCACTGATTGAGGACGGCCGACTTGTACGAGAGGTTGAAGGTGAGCGAGGCCAGACCCTGCAGGTAGCTGAGCAGCACCTCGCGCTCCTCGCCGTTGAGGAGCAGGGCGCCGGGCTGGTAGTGCGCGCGCAACTTCGAGCTCTCCCTGAACAGCGACACCAGGTAGCACTCCAGGAGGCCATGGTTGAGGGCCAGACGCAGCCACGCGCGGCACCGTCCCACGTCCGTGCCCACAAAGTTGATTTTCTCCAGCTCGATGATCACATCGCTGCAAATTGAACAGAGCGCACAAACACTTCTTTGAATGATTATTTACAAAAAAAAAAAAAAAAAGCTACAGTCACAGCACAAAGATTCTGGTGGTGGGACTCACCGATGGGTGACGGTCTTAAGAAGGCTCCAGAAGAAAGGCTGCGGGAGGGGTCCGCGACCATCTTTCCGGCCACGGCCGCCGGCCTCCCAGCGGATGTACTTGCTCTTGATGCCGTGGACGAAGATGGCCTCCAGGGCGGAGCACAGCAGGTTGGCGTCGCCGTCCTCGCTGGTGACCACCGCGTCCGACGTCACGTAGCGCCTCTGCAGGGCCTTGAGCGACTGCGCCAGCTTCTCTTTAATCTGTGTGACGGGAAGGAACGTGACAAGCACTTCCTCCTTTTATTTTTTTTTTTTATTTTATTTTTTTTTTAACGGAAAAGATGCTCGCGGAGATGGCATGTGCAGCCCAAAACTGCTCGCTCAAGACCACTCAAGATGTGCTTGGAGTGGGGTCAATGGCCCCGTGCTGACAAGGCAACATTGTGGCGAGAGTCACATGATGCCAAGATCGTGAACGCATGATCAATGACTGAAGACTCTGCAGCTCTCTCAAGCTATTTGAGCTGGGTGATAAAGCCTCGCTTATAGAAAATACAGACAACCATGAATGAATTTTTGTTTTTTTCGCCTTCCGGGATTTGCTTTAGTTCTGCTGATACACAAACAAGCTTTGAAATAGTTTTCCCCCCCAGCATTAACTTTCACACAAACAACTGAAATTAAAAGCTCTTCGGTGATTGTTACGGATCATCACATGAGCCTGACATCCGTGTAAAAAAAGTCATCATGTCATAAAACGAATAAAGTCCCAAGTTTTTTCGAGAAATTTTCTCACATAATGCAGTCCTTTTTATTTTATGGCAAAAAAGTCATATTTTCTAGAATAAAAAGCAGAATATAAAGTTGTGTTTTTGAATTTCTCTTCCCTTGTTAAACCTTTCACTTTCGTAGTGAAATAGGATGTTGCCTTGGACAATTTTAATTTTGTAAAAATGCGACTTCTCACCCTCGAAAAACAATATAAGAGCTGATTATTTATTCCCTTGAAAACATTTTTTTAATCATATTTTTTTAAACATGATGACGTTGCCCTCCAAAGTAGGAAACTTTTTAAGCCCGATGGGCACCTCTGGACCAAAACAAATAGAAAGACATTCGTTCCAATAACAACATCTCCTCCTCCTCCTTTAATCATGGGTCTATTCCTGCTTCTTTAAACACCGATTATCTGTTAATCTAATCCCAATGACACTAAAAATAAAACAGACAGGAAGACAAGAGAGCCAGTAACCTTTTTTTTTTCTCTCGGCCGGAGATGAATGTGGCGGTCAAAATTGACATCAAGACTTACCTGTTTGACATGTTCACCCTGCTGCGTCGTGTCTGGCGTGTGTGTGGCTAACATGGCACCTCCTCCGAGCTTCTATACCCACATGGCATGCTGCAAAGGAACAACATACAACGCAGAGAGAGAGGTAGAGATGACACTGCAGACAGTTTTTAGTGATGGAAAAACACAAGCATGACATGTGATTGACCAAGTTTGGTTTCTCCTTCCTCACTCGTGTCATGCCAGTGAGCCACTCGTACCTTTTCCATCCTGAATCTGTTTTGGGAAGTGGTTTTAAACCCTCTGAGTTCATTCTTAAAAATAAATCAATAAATTCCAACTTAAAATTCCTGCTGAGAAACAGATGACAGGAGTGGAACCATTTTCACATTGCATTCCGGATGACAAGAAATTAGCCTGGTGCAATCAATCACATTGAACACGGTGACCATAAATCAAATCTTGATCTGAAATACGTACATCCAAACAGGCAAATATTTCACCACTGTCTCCTTGCCGAAAATGTGCACGCTACAATAGAAAAAGCATAACAAATTCACTGCAACATAATGAATTCAACTATGAACTATTTATTTAATTTCCAAATCAGTCAAATGCCTTGCAACAAAAACGAGGGTTTGAAATGTGCCTATCATGTGACCGACACTCTGATGAGCGCCCCGAGGAAGCAGACGAGTCCAAATCACAATTTGAAATGATCCAATCTAGATAAGACCACTCAAAAGCAGAATGATTTGACCGTTTAGAAAAAGTTTCAACAACCAAACGAACTCGTTTATCTTAAGCATCATCTACTGCCCGTCGCTTTTGATTCTCGTGTTAGCCGCTGGCGACACACATGGAGATTAATAACCACACCCAACATGCACGCACAGATATACACATCTACACACACACACACACACTTCAAATTCTCATAAAAGTTAAGAATTGAGACTTTAAAACCAGATAAGCAGCAACATGTCGTAGCTAGCTTAATCGCGTCCTCACCGAGATGCAGACTTGACTTTCCATTTAGGTCCAAAACCAAAAAGTGTAAATCAGGAAGGGGGCCGCTGGGTTAAGTGTAGTCCGTACATATTTCTATCATCACGCCACTCTCTAAAACTTTTTGTAATAGGAACAAAAAGAACACCGACAGTCAAGGTTTGTTTACTCCAGACTGGAACGAAGTGTACGGGGGAGCGGAGAGGTGCACCATGGGAAAAAGAGTCTATGGTGCATTCACTACAATTGGGTGTTTTAAAATTACGATACAGGATCTCCATATAGGAAACTTCCCGTTTTACAAATCATGTATATTGTCTGCATCGCGAGCGACTGAATTGTCTCAGCCAAAAATGTGAAGATATGCCAAATGTGGAAAAAGTCTACCTGTTCAGCACACTTGCATGTATCATATCACTCATTTTTATTTCCTCATCTTGACTAAAGTTAAATCATACACGGACAGAATCATGTTCACTTATCCAACTAAAATATCCAACCAACAAATATTGTTTCGTGTCTTATTTTTTCTGTGAAGGGAAGCATTACGAGTGTCGGCAAAGGCAGCACGGTTTCAAAGCAGCTCTCGCGATGCCGTTCAGCGAGACTGAAATATATTTCAGTAGCCACACCCACCCCAAAAGATACACTATAAATGTCCATATTAATACCTTTCTGTACGTTATTGTATATTTACATTCAATTTACATTTTATTTTATTTATTGCTAATATATTTTAATCACTATTAAACACATTATATAAAGTATTGAAACAAAATGTAAATTAATAGGTGGATTTTGAATGTGTCCGCAAAAAATGAATGTAAAAAAAAAAAAGGAAAGAAAAACAAATGACAATATAAGAACAATCATTAAAAACAGGATTGTCTCATAAATGCTATGTTTAATGAATAACAGCATTTAAATTGACACACAGACACCCACATGACATTAATAATAATAAAGTTAATCATTTTTATTAAAAACAAAACAATGGGAAAACATCACCCAGCAAAAATCAGCAACATGTGCGACTATTGTTCGATGCCACATGACAATGTGCGTTAAAAAAAAAAAAGCTTGAACTCAGGTTTGTATGCCTACTCGAGACAACATGGACAGCACCATACAAAAATCACCGCGACGTCACTCCCATGGGGCCTCGGCGCAGTCGTCTGCGCTGGCGTACACCGCCAGTTCCTCGTACAAGTCGCCTTCTCCGTACGCCTCGATGGTCAGGCCCTGCGCACGAACACACGGGCACCGCATTACTTTGTAACGTGTGTACCTAATGCTGTGGCCTAACTCACCTCATAGATGTGTTCGATTTCCGGCTCGTCGTAGATGCGCTCTCTGCCTTTCAACTAGTCACAAAAAAGGAATGAAAAGAGAATGGCAAATCAAAATGGCTACTGCGCGTTCTCAGCTGCAGTTTGGCTGACAAGACCCAAATATTCTACATTGTACAGTGAGGCAATGAGCTAACATTAACGAGCGACCTTCGGTCATTGTTTTCGGTCTTCTCACCATTATGCGATTGCGCTGAAGCAAAAGCAACACAATAACCCCCAGCATCAGGCCTTGCAGGACCATAAGTGCATCCTTCATGTTGCTTCGGTGCACTGCCTCTGCTCGGTTGACGGGCCCTGTCAGGGGGAAAATTACAAGTTGACATGTTTGATGAACAAACTACCCAAAAAAACGAGCACACGCTTTGGGGGCAAATGGGGTAGCATCACCCTTTTGTTGTGAAGAAAAACATCAGCTCAATGAAGAGAACGTGTCTGGAGGAACCTGTGGCGAGTATAGGCTCTGTCCTACACAAGATAGCATTATCCCTTGTTTATAGATTTACAAACCTAGCCTGTAGTTCGGACATGGCAGATTGCTGTCACATGTGAGGACAGTTGTTCTTCCACTTGATGTAATAGTTCATATGACAAGTAGAAAATCTTTTTTTCACCCCCACCCCCCAAAAAAATCATTAAAAATCCATTGTTTGGAGTTGCTACCTACTGGCAACTTGCAGCTGAGTGCCGGTCCCCCACGTCTCATTGATCCGGCAGAAGTAGACGCCGCTGTCCTCGGGGCTCAAATCGTGCAGGATGAGGAAGGCGTTGAGCGTGAGGTCTTTGTGGCGAGTCACAGCGCCTTCCAGCAGGCGCCACTCAGCGACGTCTTGGTCATAGCGGGCGGCCTTGTACCAGCGCGCCTCGGCCGGCAGGTGCTGCTGGGAGGAGGCGCAGTAGATGGTGACGAACCGGCTGGGCCTGACCCCATAAAAGCGCGGCTTCTGGGTGATGGAGAGCTCGCGGCTCGCAGCGGCTGAGTGGACCAAAGTCAAATCATTATTGCTGCATACAATTCATAATAATGTACGCAACCTATCTATCCATCTATACACATGCTGTAAAAATACATAAATGAAATTAACAAGAGGTATAATAAGAATACTACTCAGACTAACTTCCTCTTTTCCTCCAGATGTCCAGGAAGTGAAGCGAGTCCGCAAAATAACGCATCAAAACAAAAATGAGACTTATTTTACCTGACATGTGGAGTAGAGTTAGAGCGCACAATCCACCGAGCAACCAGCACATGATGGGCATGCAAAGACACAAACACAAACAGAAGAATTAATCGAACTGCTGGAATCCGTGCTTGAAGCAGTGACAGTGTGCAGTCATGAGAAGAGTAGTCTCAATTTCACTTGTCAGGATGCAAACAAGAGGGCGGAGCCATGACAGAAGGACAAGAAAATATAAATCACAGAGTTAAACGGAAACTTGTGTAGATTACTGTCTCATGGAGGGTACGGCCAGTCAACGCAAGGGTCATGCTACCCTGTCGACCCCATAGCACAGATGTATAAAGAATATGGGAGGTCGCGATGACACGGGTTGTACTTGCCAGAAATTCCTGCAGCTCATTTTTCTTTTTTTAGGCTTGGATGTTTTTCTTCAGAAGAAAATATGTCTCACCACCCTATAGCCCACAGCCAGACATACAGTACATTATTTAAAAAAAAAAACTGAGGTTGCTGTTACATAAAGGACAAGAGCCAGTAAATGCCACAGGTTCCTTTCGATCTTTTTACTTTTTGGGGCTGGCATGTTTTTCTTGGTAAGAAAATACATCTCGCCACTCTACAGCCTCCACACTGTCAGTACTTGCCAGAAATCGAAATTGCTTCTTTGGGCTGGGTTCTTTTTATTTGCATGACAATGTGCCTTGTGTTTTGCGGCCCTACATCGGACTTACAAATCTGTCACGTGTAAGACAGAGCATGGGGGAAAAAAAAAATCTAAATTCATGTTCAGCAGCAGTTTGGGGAAGTTTTTCTCCCGTTGCTATATATGTGGCATGTTTTGAATTCTAGAGCTTGATGATATTTTGTGTTGCAATTTGACAAGGCGGCCACTAGATGACGTCTTTTAAGACAAAGACTTTCCCATTTACTTCAGAATTCACAGTAACGAATATACACGATACAGACGATATAACACAATATAACACAAACACACACGCCCGGGCATGCATCTCCACTGCATCCCAAATGTAAACAAAATGTGAGTCAGGATTAAAAGAAGGTGGTCAAAGTTCCCGACGGTAAATAACACAATGCATCATTTCTTCCCTCTGAATAGGACACGCAACAAGTTTCGATCAACACGTCGGTGTACGTGTACCTGATATTCAAAGTAAGACCTTTTCAATTAAGACAGAAAGTGAAACAACCTTTTAAAAGAGTCACAGCAGCATCAACGTAAGGGTCAAACAAACGACTCGAAGAGTCGACCTATTAATAATAATCTTCATATCATATGGACATGTAAACATGAGTGCTGCCCTTTCAAGGCCTCCTGGCACGACAACGGGAAGAGGACAAAAACATCTATCTATCATGCGCGCTGATGGATGAAGTTCTCTTTTAGACGCTCATCATCCCCAGCGGCTGCAACTGGACCTGGTCGGCCCAAAAATAAACATAGTGCAAGATTCAAGCGGCTCTCGCGACGCGTTAGCCACCCGCTAACGAGCCACAAACCGGCGTTCATGTTCAACCACGATCGGGTTTGAATAAAAGTACAGTCTTCAAAAAAGGGGTATCGAAGGAGAACGCTACCCGTGAGTAAGGCTTGGCGTGGTCACTTGGGGAGTTGTTTCTGTTGCTACGTGAGGCTAGAGGGCGGCCATTTTGTAGGCCGGTGGCAAACATGGCGAATTCGTTGCCTCTTTTTTACCATCGAGTGAGACAATCTTTGGCCGAGGGATGTTCAGAGGATCATCAGCCTTTCACCAGTCATGCTTGGCAACCGCAACCACCCAGAGACATAACTCGGACTCCACACCGAATAATTTAGACCTGAAAAAGCTTTTTGGGATCAAAAGTGGAACATGATCAGATTGACCTTGATAACTGACAATCTACACAAACATTTAGGTTCATAACAGAATCGCGACGATGGAACAGAAGTGTTCAGGATAACGCTTAATTCTTCAGCGCTGTTATGTTAATCGCAACCGCACTGTAAGGCAAATATTTTATACATCACGCCATGTGACGTGGTGGTTCTGAGAAAGCGAAGGCACCGTAACAGCCCAATTCGAGTTCTGTGTAAAAGGCAAAGTGGGCGAATGCCTAATTGGCTTTTGTGGCAATTTTGTGGGATCTCGGTTTGAAACTTGCAATTCAGAGACTCCCAAAAGTCCTCTTATGAGCGCTCTGGAGAACTCGATCGCTGCTCGCCAGCCTTCTTCTATTCATAGGGGAGGAATTAGCTCCTTTTGATCATCGTAACAATGTCCACAAAATGCAGTTGGAACAAGTGCAACTTGAGATCCTACAAGGTAAAGTTCGTATTGGGGAAAAAAAGGTTTTGGTTATACAAGCGACTCTCTGACATGTTCTTCAAGGCTGCCGAGGACTCGGTCTGGCTCAGGGGCAGAATGCAGCACCACCTCATTCGTAATTTCCAAAGGTATTGATTTGGCACTCGATCCGGAAGCGCCAGGACCAGGTCGGGGTCCCGGCTCCGCCGCAGACACAGACCCCTTCTCCTCAGCAAGCTCCACGTAGCCAGCATATAGAGCTCCCATTTTGCGCGCAATCAATCCCTCTTTTTCCGGCGGGTCTTGGTCTTGGGCGGCCCCTCTCATGGAGCGACGCAGGAAGGCGGCGTGACGGAGGCCCCGTCGCAGCAGGTGGCTCCGGTAGGCCCGCTGGATGACGGTGGCAGCCCACGCTTCCTCCTTGTGGCGTACGGTGGTGGTGATGGGCGCGAAGGAGTCCGAGGTGGGGTTGCTTTGGAGGAACTTGGTCTTGATGCTCTCCCGCATGGCCGCCATTTCCAGCGTGTCTCCCAGGACCATCTGCGTGACGGCCATCAAAACGTCCAGGCAGTGGATGCGGTCGCCGATGACCAGCGGGAGGTCCATCTGGATCAGACGAAGGCGGTTGGGCTTGGCGACCCTCAGCGGCTCTTGCAGCGCGTCGCAAAAGTCCGGGAGCCGGACGTACTCGATGAACATGGTTCCGGCCGTGTCGAATTTCTCCCAGGTCTTGTTGAACATCTCAAAGTCCTCCTCACACAGCGCGTCGCTGCTCTCCTCCTGCGCGACGTTGAAGTTCTCCAGGATGATGGCGATGTACATGTTGACCACCACCAGGAAGGAGATGATGATGTAGCTGCTGAAGAAAATCATGCCCATGCCCGGGCTGCCGCAGTTGCCCCTCACGTCCGTGCCGGGGTTCTCAAAGTCGGGATCGCAGTCGGGCGGCTCCCTGTTGAGCATCGGCAGCAGGAGCCCGTCCCAGCCGGCTGAGGTGGTGATCTGGAAGAGGCAGATGATGCTCCCGCCGAACGTCTCAAAGTTGAAGATGTCGTCGACGCCCGCCTCCTTCTTGACGTAGGCGAAGTTGGACATGCCGAAGATGGAGAAGATGAACATGATGAGGAAGAGCAGCAGGCCGATGTTGAAGAGGGCGGGGAGCGACATCATCAGAGCGAAGAGGAGCGTCCGGATGCCTTTGGCTCCTTTGATGAGTCGCAAGATGCGACCGATCCTGGCCAGACGGATCACGCGAAAGAGGGTCGGTGACACAAAGTACTTCTCGATCATATCTGACAGCATCGTGCCTGTAAGAAAAGAACTTCGGTGAATGACCAGAGCATGATATCGGTATTTCCTCCTGTCCAAAAGTGAGGCTATCCCGTCGCAAATGATAATACAATATGACATGATGTTATTTTGTCAGGTATGGAAGACAACAATTCTTTGTCGCGCTCACTCACCCGCGATGGAGAGGATGACGACGATAAAGTCGAATATATTCCAGCCGTTGGTGAAGAAGTACTGTCGCAGAGCAAAGAGCTTCAGCACGCACTCGCCGGTGAAGACGGCAATGAAGGCTAGATTGACTTTAAAGAGGAAGTCCTCCTTCTCCGCGCTTTGGTTGTCCGTCTCCACCATCATGGTCACCATGTTGAGGCAGATGAGCACCATGATGAAGATGTCAAAGAACTGCTGACTGATGAGGTCGAACACCAGGCCCTGAAGGACGTTCTGCCAAGGTCGGGATGAAAACACAAATCCAAAAGGGTCAATTTCAGGGCACCTGATGATGTCGGTAACATGATAAGTTGTCCACTGTAGTGACCGCTGTCCCTCAAACGGTTAAGTAACTTTTCCCGCTATGTCACATTTAAAGTCACATACGGTGGGACGGGGAATCGGCTTCTGCGGCTTCTTGGAACCGAGTTTCTTCATGGCTTCGTAGTACTTTTTCTGCTCTTCCGTCATGAAGATGTCTTTATCTCCCAAGTGCAGCAGCAAAAGCAGCAAAGGTCACCATTATCATTACTATCCGCCGCATTTCAAGAGAGAAACGTCATGCACAAACACTCATCTTTTTCTTTTGCTGGTTGAAGTTGTCGATGATGACGCCGATGAAGAGGTTGAGCGTGAAGAAGGAGCCGAAGATGATGAAGATGACAAAGTAGACGTACATGTATAGGTTGATCTCGTACGACGGCTGCTCCTCCACCTGAAGAAAAGAAAGAATATGGACATATGGTGACATTTTGCGATTTGTGTCTCCCCGATGAAGCGCGAGTGCTCACTATACTTACCTCCCTGGAGTCAACAGCAGCATACATGATGTCCATCCAGCCTTTAAAAGTTGCCTGCAAACATATAAGAACATGTTTAATTGATTGATTTATTTTTTTCTTAAACGCAGAAAATTCAAAGACGGGCGCCACGTACCACTTGCAGCAGCGACAAGTAGCCCTTCCCAACATTGTCGTAGTTGACTTTGATGTTGACCCAGCGGGCCTCCCCCGTGGCCTCTTGCAGGGCCAGGCACTCGCTGCGATTGTTGATTTCGGTGACGTCGAAGCGCTCCTGCGAGGTGGTGTTGACGCAGCGGTAGAACTTGCCGGCGAACATGGTGACGCCCATGATGCTGAAGATGAGCCAGAAGATGAGGCACACCAACAGTACGTTGAAGATGGACGGGATGGCGCCCACCAACGCGTTCACCACCACCTGGTGAGGTCAAAAGCGAGGTCGGTGTGGGCATGAGAACCTGATGGCACGGCGACGTCCGATGATTGACATCGCGACACTTACCGTGCTACGCTCCCACGCGGTGTAAAACATGCAAGCTAGAAGAAACGTCACACGCGCCAAAGCAGCCATCAGACACACAGTTGAAGCGCACTGCGTCATACTGACAGATGATGTTATGGTTAGCCACTTAGCATTCAGGTTAGCCCCTTAACATTACGGTTAGCCACTTAGCATTCTGGTTAGCCACTTAGCTTACTGTTGTAATTTGTAAGACCACAAGTGTCATAATACCCAGTACAAATTTGTTGCACATTTTGAACCTTTCCAAGGTCATCACACAGACCACTTCAGACAACCGGGCGTGGCAATCACAAGCATGGCTCCCTTCGCACCACTTACCCGCATGCCTTCAAATCTGGAGAGGGCGCGGAGAGGCCTCAGCGCTCTCAGCGTTCGCAGGGATTTGATAGGTCCCAACTCGGAGAAACCCAACCAGTGGGCCACCAGACTAATCAGAGAAACCTGCAGCGAAAGGAGA